CAATATTTTGGGATTCTGACACATGTAGTCATTTGTTACATCTAATGAAGACTAATCTACAAAAATTTCAAAAATATTTTGTTCCTCTATTATATGGATAAAATAACTAGGTAGAGAAACTAAGAATCCTAAGATTGGGTAAATGAAGAGTGATAAGTGGTGTATGATTAGCAAATCCATCTTGTAAAAAAAACAAACAAACATTGATTTGTAACTGAAACTGTAGCTCCTTATGGTGTATAGGAAGAGCTGACAAGAACCAGTGAATGAATTTGTTTAATTTATGCTGTTTTAGATAAGCAAGTTAAAAGTGCCAAAAATGTCTGCAATTTCTAATGGGAAAAGGATTGTACAAATAATTAAACTATTTACTAGAAAAAAGGACTTTACTATTGCTTATTTAAAATTTATTGTTGGTTTAATTCTTAGGAAAGAACTAAAGATAGCAAAAATGGACTTGGATAGAGTTGAATGATGTTGTACCCTAGCTACAGGTAGCTGCTAAACATTTTCTTTCGCTTAAAGTAGTCAAAATTACTGTTTGATATATGAACATATAAAACCCATGTTGATTTCAGGAGGGGGTGTATTCAAGGACAAGAGATTTTAGTATATTTATGCATGTATAAGAGATGTCAACTTTGTATAGAAAATAAGCAGTGTACAATTCTTTTTCTAAATGTTTTATAACTGGATATATATGCTATATTATTAATAGTAAATCCTGTGGGATTTACTTGAGCTGCTATATTCTAGATTAAAAGATGAATTTAAAACAAATCCAATATAACCTGAAGATAAAAAGAATCTATTGATTGAAATCTTAAAAGTAGGTACATCTAATAATTTGCTGAAAAAAAAAAAACCCAGCATACCATGATAAAAAAGGCCCCAAACTTGATAAAAACAGTTTTTATCATCAAAATGTTTATTATTAAAATGAAAGACCAAAGTATTTTTTTATTATTTTAATAACTCTTTTTTTTTTATTTTTATTTTTTTTAATCCTATCTACCATGTTGTAAATTTTGGTTAAAAATCTTTTTTTTTTTTTTTTTTGTTGTGTCAGTGGGTGGACCAAAGAGTAGTATAAGAAATTTTAGCGTCTTTTTTTGCAGTAAAAAAAAACACATTCATTTGGGAATTCTTGTAAAAGTCAAATAATTGTTAGATTTTAATGAAATTTTCAGGACTTATTCACAAACGAAGGAAATTTTTTTTTAAATATATATATATATTATATTTTTTTTTTTTTTTGGTTGGAAAATCTTTGTAAAAGTATTTTTTCTTTTTGCATCTTTTACCCCCGCCCATTACTTATTTTAATGAAATTTTGAGAAACTAAAATTCCACCACATTATAGTTATATTAGTTAAATGATTGGAGAATTTAAATCATCAATTTTTTTTTTCTCAAACAGCCCATTTACTGAAAATCTGCTCTGAATTGTAAAATAAAAAAATGCAATAAAACTAAGTCATTATTTAATGAGAAAAGCTTTTAATTGCTTTTATAAATAAGATTTATTAAAGACACAATTGTCTAAAGAAAATATTTTTTTGATGAATAATGAATTTTTATGAGAATTGTTTTCATTTTTAATAAAATTTTTACTTAGAATAATTTAAGTTTTAAATATTTTCAAATTCTGTATTAATTTCCACCTTTTAGATGATTTTATTTTTAAGTGAAAACTATATTTACTAATCATAAATGGCAAAGCTTAGTATGAATCAGCAGACACCAATATTTTCAATAGAATTTTGAGTTTTTTTGTATGTGTATAAAAATACCATACTTTTTTGGATACAGGCAAATGTACATGACATTATCAGAAAATAAGAGCGATAACTATAGTAAATTTAAAGCCCAAATTTCTTAAATTCAATAAAACCTTAGATTATGGAGAATATTTTCCTAAATTTTTAAGATTACCGAGTACTTAAAAGTTATATATAAAAGATGCTCATGTTATATTCAATTATTTTTTAATGGTTAAGGCTCTCATAGAACAACATTAGATAAACAATCTGTCATCAAGCTGTCAAACACATCAACACCTTAAAGAAGTAGCTACCACAGTGTTAAAGAAAATGATGTTATTTTCTTGAAATCAGTTAAAATTCCTCTAATAAAATTTCAGAAATTATATTTTATTTTGGGGAGTTTTTTTTTAATAAACAGAATTACATTGAAATAAATATGAAGTAAAAAATAGTGCTAAAATCCAATTTTTTAGCCAAAAAAATATTCCAGTCAATTTAAATCAGTTTTTGAAATACAGCAATGTATTTTATGTATTGGAAATATTAAATTTATTCGATTAGCTTGAAATTAAAACTCAGATAGAAGCTTCAAGAAGGATTTTTCATTTTTAAAAAATAACTTTATACCTTTGTATAGCGAATTAGTGGAGGTACCTTGTTAAAAGCACATACATAAAACAAGATTGTGCAAATGTAAAAAGAAAAGAAAAAAATAATTTATCCTTATAAATAGAACATAATTTTCAATAAGACATAATCTCTATTCAGTGATGCAATAAATTATACTTTATTTTAGTTTCTAGTTGATATTTATGCTGTTTATTAATACAGAATAATTTTCTTATTTGAAGACCATGACATAATTCACATTTTTTTTTTTTATCGTCATATTAATGTCTCCATTATTGGGTTTCAGCCATTACATTCTTCAACCTTATTTCTTTAGGTGTATCAACCAAAACATCGTATTAAAAACAACAATGAAGACAATAGTTCGGATAATAAAGGGAATAAAGAAAATACTTAATCTCAAACAAAAAAGTTAAACGTTTATCTCCCTTTGTGTATGTTGTTAAATTTCATCAGTTATCTCCCTTATGTAGTTTTTTTTTTATTTGCCAACAGTTTACTTTAAAGTAAAAGGTGATTGTACAAAACAAAATTGTACTCCCAGACATTACTTCGCAGTCTCTCGTCTAAACAACTGTGAAATTGTTATGAACTTCTAAAACGATTTGTTTTGTAAGTGGCTTTAGATTAAAAAATAAATTACAGTTGATCAATAAGTTTTTTTTTTTCTAAGGAAAAGAATCCATGGTTGTAATAAAGTAGGTACCGCCAATTTTGAAGAATGTAAAAACAATCTGTGTTGCAATAAAAAAAGTAACAAGAGTAAGATATAATGGAAAACTAACAGAAAAACAAAATACCTTCCTAAATTTAAAAATTTTATTAAGCATATGTTTAAATTTAAATTTGGAATGCCTTATTTCATGTTGATACATGTCAAAAGAACCTGTATCTGAAATTGAATGACAATATTTATTTTAAATTTCCTTTGAAGTATGTTACCTGCTGTTTATATCAGTATTGTAATTTGAATGCCAAGCCTGTTTTGCCAGTAATATGAAACAAAGAATTTATTCTTATTTTGAAATTGTGTTAGCCTACTTGTTTCAGTTGACTGTTACTGCAACTCATAAATTTTTGTCTGCTTGATATAGTGTTTTTGTATGAATGTATAGCTGTTATTTTGCTTGTAGGAATTAGTCGATCTACTAAGAGATTAGCCAAAAAAGAATTGGGGGATTTAGATTATCATTAACCCTTACATTAAATAATAATAATTTTTATGTCATAAATTTTATATATTTTTGTACTTAGATGACCAGATGGTGGAATAAACAAAACACTAATAGTATTAGTATTCATATTGGTATGTGTAAAATATAACTTTATGATATATATATATATATATATAATGTGTGTGTGTGCGCGCGCAATATATTATATATACAGGGTGTCCATAAAGTTCATATTCACTTTAAAGTTATAAATTGTTTAAAGTGCACACGAACTTTATGGACACCTGGTATTATTTATATATTATATGCGCTACTTATTGGAAAGTGCTCAATATCAAAGATAGAGCTAACATATTTAGTTGGATTGATGTGAGTACATCATCAAACCAACTAAAAATATATATATATATATATATATATATATATATATATATCAGAAATGTACAATAACATTTTTATATTCCAACAATACCAAATTATACAAACTGTAGTGCCTCTACTGCATGAATTTAAGCATGCTACTAGATTGGCAACTAAATCTCACCGTTTACTGTTAAACTAGCTAGATGCAACTGTCTCTTCTATTCTGACACTTTCATTACTTGCACTTCTCATTTGTGGAACTTCCTCCTTCTCATTTCTTGTTTCCCTGTCACTGACAATCTTTGAAGATTTAAATGTAATGTCAATTGCCATTTTCTGTTTTCTTGAACCCTGTTCCTTTATTGTCGTTTCCTCACTTTTCACTAAAGTCTTCACATTCTCTTTCTCTCCCTGTTATCTCCTGCATCCTAGTGGCATTATTGCCTTCCCTGGGGTGAAATGTTTAAAAATAAAAATTACATGCTGTGACTTAATCATCTTAGTTTCATTTGTGTCATGAGAAAATAATCTGAAGAGATTTTAAAAGCTCATTTTGAAAATTGGTCTTTTATTTAAGTAAACTTTTTTTTAGAAAATTTTAGCTTGATAAAAAAAAAGAAAAGTAACAATGTGGTATAATCTGGTTAATTAATATTTTGCTTTTAAAAAGATGATTTTTTTTTTTTTTTGCTAATGAAAATATAAATTTTTCGTTTCAGGTGAAGGTCCATACAAATGCAACATTTGCAAGAAAACTTTCCAGTCAGTAACAAATCTTTGTGTGCATCTGCGTTTGTGTACTAAAGAAAAACTTTACAAATGTCCAGACTGTCCACGTAAATTCACACAAAGTGAACATCTGGCTGACCACCAGAACAAAAACGGTCACTTGTCCTCCCTCCAAATAGAAGATTTGGACAACTTGCATTCTCAAAATGAAAACAATGACATCTGTGATAGTAATGAAACATGTGTGCCATCAGTTAGTTCTTCCAGTTTATATCCCTGTTCTTCTGAGTCACTCAAGACTCTTTCGACTATCAGACAAGAGAAGAGACAAAGTAGGATGAGAATGCTACAGAGACATCTTGCTGGGGAAGAGGCTGTCGATGTTGGCATTGAGCAGGCCAACAAGGTGGCTTCAACCTGCAACAATGAAAGCCAAGATCCTGTATCAACATTGGCGCCCAAACTGGCTGAGAACAATAAAGATCTTTTTGAACAGGCCCAAGCTCCAGTTGCTGAACCTGTATCACACAATCTGCCCCAAATAGAATCCCAGATGATGGCACTGGAAAATGATCACTCTGCAAATGATGTAGATATGGATTTGAAAGTGAACCACAGTTTCTCTCTTGACATTGGAGACTTTCAGGCTATCACTTCTGGTGAAAGCATGCAAGAAGTTCATGATCCAAATGCTTCCAAAATAGACTTTATCATGACAGATCCTGACACAGAAATGACTCCTAGTGGCCAGGAATTACTTCTTTCTGATCTCCCACCTCCTTTACTCAGTCCAGAGAATGTCTCTTCTACATCTTCCGCCACACTTGTCGACAAGACTTTGGCTCTTCCATTGAAAACAGAAGAACCTCCTCTTCTGCCCAAGGTGTTGTCTGTCTGCTCTTTGGGGTTTAATAATGAAACCCAGAAGACATTTACTTCAGACCTCTTCAATCTGGGGACAGACAGCTCTGTTAATAATCCTGATAAGGGAGAAGAACCTGCTTCTGTTCCACCATTGTGTCCAGACCATGAAATCAGTGCTGTTCAGTCAGCAGGGGACAGTGCCGGAAAAGAAATAGAGATTTTGGTGAAGAAAGAAGTTCCAGATGAAAAGAGCACAAAGGAATGGGAAGACCTGGAGAAAACCGATGATCTTACATCTGACACATTCCATGAACAGGAAAGAGTTATATTCCTTCCGACTAACGGTCAAAAAATTTCAGTTCATTCGCGATCAGTGCACCTTGTCGACTGGCCACGGACAATTGTCCAGTGTTCAGTGGAAGAGCAGCCGGATGACATTGATCCGATTCAGGAATCGAAAAGTAGCTCTGGCCAGTCTCAAGGGACGTGGTCAGTTAAGGAGAAATCAAATGAGGCAAATTGTAAAATGTTGTGTGAAGAAAAAGAAAATGGTGAAACTACAAAGAAGAGGAAGTTGAGTGTTGAAGAGGAGAATTCTGGGACGTGTAAATATAGCAATTGGGAAGAAAGTAACATCTTGTCTTTGACTTGTTTGGAGTCTCCTCCATCCTCAAACCCGGCAAAGAAGCATTGCCCAGATTCAGAGAAGATGCAGCCAATCAAAATTGAAGCTAATTTAGAAAAACCAGTAGAGATCAAGCAGGAACCATATTCTAGTATCAATGACGATAACTTTATCACCAAAGATAGCAATGAATCTCCTCTGAAGAACATCTCATTAGATAATGACTCTTCAAGCAGTGATTTACAAAGGCCTAAAAAAGATTCTTATGGCATGTCAAAGAGGAATCTTTCGAGACTTCCCTCGGAACCGGTCCGATATCTTCCTAAGAGGAACTATAAAAAACCGCAAAAATACTTTTGTGATGATTTTGATTATTCCATCTCTTTTAGCTCCATGAAACCCAAAACTTCTAATCCAGTGTCAGCCACTACAACAACGGGTACTTCAACCGTTACCATTTCCAACCTTTCTGAATCACAGTCAGCGAGTCGTGAACTCTCTGAAAAAAAGAATTCCCATCAGGTCAATAAAAATAATGATGATTGTAGTCAAAACAACAGAACTAAAGCTACCAACAACAAGGCCAACGAGAATGTAAATAACAATAATAACAATAAAAGTAATGATATTAATAATAAGAAAAATAATAATAATAATAATGGTAGTAAAAAGAGTTTAAATCCCCAGACAAAGGAAAGTGCCGAGATATCATCTCCTCCTAATGTTGCTTCATCCCAAAGAAGCAAACGCAAATATGATATGACAAAAAGAAACTTGAAGAAAGAAATGAGGGAAAAATCAGAAAAAATGAGTCGAGATCAACTGACCAAAAACTTTTTGCGATTACGGTTCAACTTGCCAGAGAGTGCGGAAGAGTTTGAACTTCAGGAGCAGTACCACAAGAAGAAGCTGTTGAAAAATGCGACCATCAAGAAGCACACAGTCATTCCAAAGATAGCCAAAGCCCGTAAGAGCCCACAGACTTCTCCAAAAAAGTGCAGTGAGTCGCATTATGGCCTGGTGAAAATGGCACAGGCCGATCAGAAACCGTTTCTTTCTGCGGTCACAACTGAACGGAAGATTCTGCCAGCACCACCAAAGACACGGCGCGAGGAGTTACTGGAAAATTTAATCAATTACAGTTCTGCAAATTTTGTTGCCAACGACGAAACTAAGAACAATTTAAGCCAGAAGAATTCAGAAGAACTGGATGTTCGCACGGAACCAACCCAGTTAAGTAAACTTCTTGGCAGCCCCCTGGCTGTCCTTCCATCTGCAGCTGCACCCAACTCTGCATTGCCTTCTTCAGTTGCAACAGTAACAACTCATTGCGAGACCCCATCGGTTACGACTATAGCCACTTTGATCCCTGTAACTAGCATGAAGACAACAGATAACATGCCAATTCCAGTTACTGTTCTGGCTAATCCGTTGCCTGCTGTTACTAGTCTTGAGAATAACCAATTCTTTATGGGCAATTTGCCAGCCCCTCTGCAGGAAAATGCTGTAGCAGATCAAAAGCCAGTGCTTTCTCAGATCCTGCCACTACCAGAAATAGAACAAAAAACAGAAAGTGAAAGAGGCTTTTGCCCTGTGTTACAGATCAAAAAGGAAATTGTGACATCTGATGACGAAGGATATGGTGGCAAGCAGTCCGATGGCCTCTCCGGATTGCGGATAACTGGGGTGACAGGTGGTGTAACAACTCATGACACGATTCCTATAAATTCTGATGCCATTTGTTCGAATGCAATGTCTGTGAGCAGTCATGATCCTATTCTGAATGCAAACAACCATCAAGACTGGTCAGTCACTCGAAGACGTCCATTGAGGTGTATCCTTGTACAAACAGAGGATGGCTTTGGCCGTTCTGAATTCACATTTGAATGTTGCGAGTTGTCTTTCTCTCAGATACCTGAACTGGCATCTCATCTCGACTCGTGTCATAAGTAACTGCTGTTTTATGGAAATGTACAGCCTGTAAATTGACTGTGTCTCACAGATGAAGGCCACGCGTATATTTTTTTATCATTGTAATAATGAGTAATAACAAACTAATCATCAAATCATCAATTTAATTTTTGTTCATCTCCCTCAACATTTTTTTAATTCAATCTGTAAAATTTGTTTTTCAAGATATTAATCTCTGTCTATATTTCTGAGATGAGCTATTATAATTATTTACACTATTTACATTGTTTGAACTGTTGTCCTCATCTTCATTGCCATATCCACAATGTTTTTGGCTATTGTATGATCTGGCCTTCTTCAGGTGATAGGAATTTTGAACTAAACCCTTTATTTCATCCACTGGGGTAGATTGTTCTGTTTCCACATTCCATACCTCTTCTGGATGTCCCAGTAACTCAACTCTCCAAGTTTTTGTTTACCTCAACTGTAGCCAGAGCTTACAACTCTTTGGGTCAAGTCACTGGATTCAACTAACTGGGCCATGTGTCCTTGAATTCCTATCACCTGAAGAAGGACAGAGCGTACAACAGCCGAAATCTTGTGAATATGGCAACAAAGATGAGGATAACAGTTCGAACAATGTAAATAGTATAAATATTAATCTATTTAAAATATACTACCTCTGTCAAATAATGGGTGTTACATATCATGTATGAGAATACATATGCAAATGGGACAACTCCTATGAGACAGAGGTTGTATATTTTATTAATTTTAAGAAAAAAATGTTTTTCTGTTTTAAACAAATGTTCTAATATAACTTGGAAATTAATCAATCATTTTTTAGATTCAAATTTGCATTTGATTAAAAAAAAAATGTTTTTAATTCCCAAACTGTTAATGGTTTGATTTTGAAAAGCATTATATTATTTGGGATGGAGTCTTCTCCTTAGCCCATTGTAAAGAAATAGTCTGTTGTTAGTTCTTATGCAATCTCCCATCATTAAAGTTCTTGCATGTAGACAATTTTCTTGTTTTGAGATCTTCCAACATTGATGCAGGAATTTTTTATATTTCAGAGATGAACAATCAATAAATGAAAATAGTGTATTCATTTCTCTCTGGCGCAGATCTTATAATATCAATTAGACAAGAGAGCATTCACGTTCATCTTTGTGTTATAATGAATGTTCCCGATAATTTTTAACTGTCTTTTAAATATTGCATTTGTAAGACTCATGTACAAGTGATTTTGTTTCTGATGCAAAACAACTTGGATTTGAAAAACAAAAAGAAGATATTAATCATTTTCCCCTGGGTGACAGTTGTCCTTCTGTCTTTGTAATTGACAGCCATTCCTGAAAACTGCTGGCAGTTGATGTGATGTGCTGTACTTGATCTTTGACCTTTTCTGAATTCTCAGTGCAATTTTGGAGAAAAAACTTATTACCAACATTTTTATGGTTTCAAATCATTAAAAAAAAAATTCAAGTGTCATTTGGTCTCACAGATTGTTGCTATTGTAAAGAGTTAGATCTTCACTCGGTGCTCCCCATACCTGTGGCTTTGTGCCAGGCTAAGCTAAACTTATTAAATCTCTACCCTGATTCTCTCAGGTTATCTTATTCTTTTAAAAGATAACCTTAGAAAACATGAACTGGCAATATAAAAATCAATTTACAAGTATAAAGAGTTTGACTATCAATTGTTTCTCCACTGCTGTGGTCTTGTACCAAACTTAAGCTTAATAGGCTGTGATAGTTGTGCATTTCTCACCAATGCCAGTGGTTGGAATTCAAACTTAGATAAAAACCTGGATTTCAAATGCTGATTTTCAAGGTTTGCTGACACTCCTTATTTGCTACATAATCTTTCTATAATTTATTTTCCTCATTTAGTGTTGTACTTGAGTAAACTCAGCCTACCTAGGTTAAGTTAAAACAACTTGTTTTTATATATATATATATATATATATATATATATATATATATATATATATATATAATTTCTGAAACAGAAAATAGATCTCCACTGACTCCATCTGTGTGAGGCAAAAAATAATCTAAACAAAATGTCATAAAATTTACATGTCATTTTTCAGATTAAATTGTTTCAGTGAGTTAGTTTTTCTTGTGATAATGTATTCTCTTTTAGAGATTTGACTAAATTGGGATATGTTTATCTCAGAAGTATCTTGAAAGCGAACAAATGAAATTTTTTGGTTCTGTATATTTTCATTTTTAATTAATTTCTTTTGTACATTTTCCAAAGCTACTAATTAATGGAATTATTGTTTTACTTTTTTTATAACTTGTTCAAAAGCAAAATAGAGTAGAGATTATTTTCTGCAGACATAACTGTTTTAATCATTTATTGGTTTGTGCTTGAATTTTATGAATTTTCCGAATGGGCATCATTGAATTTTTTTTTTTAACATCTTTGAAGTTTTTGTATAATATGAGTAAGTGTATTTTTCCAAAGAATATTGTGTTCCAGTTTGATACTCACTTTCTACTTTAGAAAATCATTTGAAACGTTTTCTTTATGCTTCTTTTTAATGTTTTTGGTTGGTTGATTCTCTGATTGTCATCAGGTAACAATTAAAGAGGTACGAAATGGCTTGACAGAACAGATAGAAATGAACCTGACAAAATTCTGGTTGATGGTGAGCAAGACTTTCTTGTTTTAATGTGTTTATGAAAGGCATCAATCCTAACTTGTCTGCACTTTGATCTGTGATCACATAAATGGTGAAATAGACAAGAATGATAGCAAGTTTTTATTACCTTCACTATATGCAAACATCTCCAAAAAGAATGTGTGACAAATTACCTTGTTTCCTAGTGAACCCATCAATCTTAAGATAGCTGTGTATTAGCAAAGGGGGTGGGAGGAGAGAATGGCTTCAAAATCTAGCATTGAAATGTAGCTTTTCTTCCATTAATGTGTCTATTGTAATGAAAATCATTGATGTTACATTTGAGATGGAAGTTAAAACATCTAAGCTTTTGATTCTTGTATTTGCAATTAGATTTTTAGATATTTGGGATGATATGATACAAAAATTCTTTCTTGGAAAGGAACTGTGACAATCAATATGTTAATGCTTTTGGAGAATGGAACATATTGGCACAGAATTAGTCATTTCTGATGCTGCAAGACTCTGCTAGTTGATTGGTTGCCATCTTTTGTTTCTCTCTCTCTAGTTTGTCTGGTTTTTTGCATTTACTTCTATGGATAGCACACATTTAGTCTGAATGGAATTATTCCTCTGACCCTATAATTCTAAAATTGTTTTTTTTTTTTCTTTAGTTTATTGCTCCTTTGGTTGCTGGGAAATATATCTGAGAAGATAAAAAGGAATGGGTAATAATGATGATATATTAGAAGATACCAGGACCTTGTCTGGGAGCTGAGAACATTATCGATCATGTAGGTTAAAGTGCTTATAATAATTGCAGCACTTGGAGCATTCATGTCTTTTCAAAGGGTGTTAGTTGAGAATTTGAATTATAGATAATGTTGGGTAAAGAGATTATATAATGTTTTTTTTCTCATTTACTAGTTAATTGATTATTGTTAATTCATTGATTCTGACAAAAAACAAAATGCTGGATTGAACTTTAGCTTTTATAATTTTTTTCTTTTAATTGTTCTGCTGATATAAATAGTCTTTTAGCAGGCATCTGACTTTTTGGACAAATTGACTGTGATCAGAAGAATTGTCTTGTCATGAGCAAGTTTCCAAGTTGGCTAGTGCTAAAGAAGTCAGTTTGATTATCCTGGTGTGGCTCATACTTTGTACCAGGCTCAGTAAATATTAATGGATCCCTCACCATAGAGAAATTAATAAGCAGTTTATTCTATCAGACCATTTTTACTGCAGTGTTCAGTCCTTTCTGGCTCTCTTCTACCAATGTCTTTGTGTCAGATTAAGTTTTGTAAATACTTACTGTGGTCTTAGGATATTTATTTAAATCTGTGACACCTAAATCTACTTTCTAGAATGCCTTGACTCCTACAACCTTTAAACTTCATATTTCTCAACTTGGCTGAAGCAAGAGTGACCATTTGTTAATGAAAGCAATTCCACTCAGCCATTTTTAAAAAGAATTAAAACTATTTTTTTCCAAACCTGATGATACTTGGAGAGTTTTCTAATCAAAAACTGAAAGAAAAAGAAAGCATTCCTGGAATGTGACCAACAAAGCTTTCCTTGTTTTATAAATACAGAATTTGGCTGTATAATTGACACTTATTCAAGAAATGCTTGAATCTTTGTAGGATGTATTGTGATATGCAAATAAATAGCAGCAAGATACTTTGCATTGGCTTTGTTAATAAGACTTTCTGACATAAGATTTTTAATAAAAATCTTCTAAAATGTAAAAGTTTCTTCCAATCGCCAAATTCTATTAATTCATAATTTGTCAAATGAGTTCATATGTTCTGTTTTTTTTTTCTCTCTCCTGGTATTCTTTGTGCAAAACAGGGTTTGGAATTCACAACTTGTAAGCCTTTTTTATAAAATTATTCAAGTTTTTTTCTTATTTAATAGATGTAATAAAGTTTTTTAATTTATTAATTTTTTTTGTACATGTATTACAGAATTTTTAATAGAGGTATTTATGTTTTTAAATTTTTCTAATAGACATTTTAATAGTTGGCTGTGGCATATAACTTAAATTATGCAAATGAATCCTTTTAACTAAGAAAACCTTTTATAAGATACATGGCTGATTTTTGGATTAAATCAATCTATTTTTTTTTTATTTCTGTAATGGGGATGATGTAAAATACCTTCTCCCTAGTATGGTTGATAATATAGTAGCTTTTGCCATTGCATTTTGAATATATAAAGTACAGGGGAATGGTTTGCTTATGTGTTCCTTCATTCTTTTCGTCTATTGACCATTTTGGT